AGAAATATTTGATACGTAATTGAACAAATTTAAACAATGCGATAGAATATTGTCAAGCACTATACAGTCTTGATGTTAATGTAGACAACTTAAAGTCGACTCCTTAGTATCATTGAGATATGTTTGATATATACAATTGAATAAAACTAAACAGTATAATAAACATCATTGTTAAATTTTGTGCAATCTACCTTATTTAGCCTCGTTTGGTAGAAATTAAAATTCAGATTTTAGTTTAAATCAAAATCAACAATTAATTTTAACCACACATTTTATAAGATTCACAACTTTACAACCACACATTTCTTCAACTTTTATCAAAATCTACTAAAAAACTGATTTCGTAAACCCGTCATGTGTCCAAATCAATTGCGTGCATGTTTTGTGAGGGGAAAAATGATGCCTAACCACTTGCTTGCATGCATGCATGCATGCATGCTTCCATTAAGATGCCAATTTATGAAATTTAACTTACTTAGTTTGAAACGTTCGTTAATTAGATAAAAATCTTAATAAGAATTCACCCATCAGTGGAATTTCAAATGTGAATTCATGTGTTTTGTAGGTTTTAAATCAATTATTTACTAAATTTTCTAAAATAACTTAAAATGTTAACCTCGTTAAGATGCGTATTCCATTTCCTTATATGTGATTATAGTTTTCATATTTCAATTACGTGGGATTAAAACATTAACATGTTTTTGTAAGATTGTGACTCATTTTATACTAATTTTGTAAGTTAACTATGGCATATTTTTCTTCGTGTCGCAAAATTAATGTAATGATATGATATTTCAGTTTCAAAATCTTACAAATTCAAAACAAAACTTGAAACATAAATACATTGATCACCGTAGAGTTGTCTAGAATTTACATTGTATTTATTAAAAATACATAATATGTTCAAAGTTACAAATTGATACCTTACGACATCAATGAAAAAATTTAAGTGAAGATTACACCCACACATGATTTTTAACTTCCCATTTCAAAAATCACGTTTAAAAGTTTTTTGTTCAAAAATCATGTAATAATTCTACATTTTAATATTAATATTAATGTTAAAAATTAAATTAACTTACATACCCACCTCACTCCACTCCACTCCGCCCCCATCCACCCCACCCACTTTTACTCTCAAACCTTAAACCATTTTCATCTATATTCCCTTTTTTCTCTATCCTATGACTTCTCTCTTTTCTCACCATCGCAACACTACCACAATGTGACACTATGATTGCTGCGAAGTGTCGTGCATAGAAACACTTGCTACCGCACAGCGACCCTGTGACCTTGCTACAAAGCACTGTTGTAGCAACGCTCACACCACCATGTGAGGCGCTGTGAAGGTCACTGCACTCAACTGCGATGATTGAACTACTGATTGAATGATGCGTCTGGTTGGGGCTATGGGATTGTTGATGAGGAATAAGGTGACGTGACAGATCTATGAAGGAGTGGCTGTCGATGAGGTGAAGAATATTCGCAGTGGAATGGGTGATCAACGATTGTTTGCGTTAAGGGTATGAGGTGGTGGTCCGACGAGATTTAGGTGAGAAGGAACAAGTTTGTGATTTGTTGGATGTCGGTGGATATGGTTTTGCAAATTGTGGTACTATAGTGGTGGGGATGGTGTCAGTTGAGTGGGTGGTGGTGGAGTGGTGCCGATGGTAGGGTGGAATGAGATGGGGTGGGTGGGTAGGTTAAATGGGATGAAGAGTGTTTATGTCCAATTATTTGTATGATTGTGACCAATAAATTGGATAATTTATGATCAATACTACAATACATAATATGTGATCAATAAATGGATAGTTTATGATCAATAAAATATATGACGTGACATAAAAAATGTGAGATTGCAATTAAATCATGATCGTGAATCACAATTTGTTAAGTTGTGATCAATTAATTTGATAATTTGTGACCGAGAAATAACTTTTGACCGATTAATTTGATAATTTGTGGTCGTGAAATAAGTTATAACCTATGAAATTTGTGATTTATTACCGTGAAATAATACATGATCGATTAATTTGATAGTTAGTGATCGATAAAAAAGTTGTGACAAATAAAATTTGTGACGGAGAAATTATACACGGCATATTAGTTTGATAATTTGTGATCGAGAATTATACATGACCAGATAATTTGATAATTATTGATAAATAAGTTGTAACCTATAAAATTTGTGATTTGTAACTGTAACGTTCTATAATTGTGGTTAATAGTAACTGTGACCATAAACTGTATAATATTGTAATCTTAATATATTTAATTTAAAAAAGTATTAATTATTTAATAATGACCTATTTTTTAAATAGTAAAACATATTTCTTAATTTTGAAATTGTATCTTTCAAACACCTCAAAAATATATGTTCCCAAAATTAAAAGAGAAAATTTCATATATAAGAGATTAAGTACGACCCATTTTAAAACAAAGAAATAAGGTTTGAAATCTCAAATTCAAATGTTAATTACGTTTTATTTATGAAATAATTAATTTAAAATATATTTTATTAATTAAATATTAATGTCACAATTCTATATAATTTGATCATAAATTATAAAATTAATTGGTTTCAAATTATTTCTCGATCGCAGATAAAAATTTTTATAGTTGACAAATTATTTATTGGTTACAAATCAAATATTTTATATGTCACAATTTATTTATCGATCATAAAACACAAATTTATATATCACAACTTATTTCATGATCATATGTGATCAAATTAATTAGTCACAAGTTATTTCTTAGTCACAAATTATCGGATTATTTGGTCACGACTTTAAATTTAGTCACAATAGGTCACATATTATTTATTGATCACAAATTAAATAATATATTGGTCACAACACCCAAATAATTGGTCACAACACTCTTTGTCCCACTCCACTGCCATCGCCATCGCCATCAATACTACCAATATCACCACCAACTCACGAGCGCCATCAACATTAACACTACCACAGCTACCACTAAGAAATGTAAATACAAGCCCCTTCGGGGGTGGTCGAGTTAGTGGAGCAAGTGAACACGTAGACAAAATGTCACGAGTTCAAATTCCCTGCCCACACTTCCTCGGTCGAGCCCGTCACACCTACTTACCTAGTGTGATTTACCTCTCCTGTGTGGTTTGCGAACTACTACACATGGAGCGGGGTTTAGCTAGTGCGCACTCACAGTGATCGGGTCTCCGCACCTTCGGGGTGGTCGAGGCTCTGCTGGTGGGTAGCGGCTGCGGTTCCTACGTAAAAAAAAAAAAAAAAAGAACTGTAAATACAACCAACAAACCCCCCACCCAAAAAACTTTGACATCACAAGACTGGACAGTGCAATGCAGCAGGTCATGCAGTGGCATCAGTGCACCGAATCCCATAGCGTCATCATTGCCATGCGCAGTGCATAGCAATGCTTACTTCGTGCTACAGTAGCGATTTTGTTGTGCGCAGTGCACACATGCCGTTGTTGTAGCAACGCGCACACTGCACGCAATGGCGTCATCGACGGTGCTATCAATGATGGCTTTTAGTTGTGATAGAGAGAGAAGAAGAGAAGGTGGGAAGCGCAGCGTCATCGGCGACGCTCCCAGCGACAATTTCTAGTTGCAATAGAGAGAATATGGGATAGAGAGGGAGAGGGGAGATAATAGATAGTAGGCCAGAGCATTGTTTGAATTGGAGTTGTTTTAAGCTCAACTCGAACCAACTTGATCGGTTCCAACCCAATCCAGTTATTGAAATCAAA